ATAGGATGGCCGCTCTCAGGTTTCTCTCTGCTTCTATATATTGCTAGTACCTTAGACCATATATACTTATAGACACGGCCTGTAGATATGAATCCACGAGTCGAGGTGAAGCAAAGATAATATCATCTACGTGACGTCACATGTGGGCATTTCAGCAATGGCTAAACGCGGCCTCGTAGATGATATGATCTTATCTTCAAGGCGGTTATCTGAAGCCGTCTATAAACGCGCCTTTGCTTTGCCCACATGTGACGTCATGTAGATGATATTATCTTTGCTTCAAGATAGTTGTCTGAAGCCGTGTCTATAAGTATATATGGTCTAAGGCTAGTACGATGCCGACCTTAAAGCCCCTTGCACAATGGACAGAATAGCTATAGCGATAGAAATAACAAAAGTTTTAAAGAGTTTATATTTAAAAATAAAGGTAGGAACAGCGGAATCTAACATACAAAACTACACATGTATCAATGCAGATCAGAAAATCGGAATAAGCAATAGCGATAAAATTTCCGACGAGTTGGAATTCTGTGTTAAAAACTGTGTTATTTCTATCGCTATCGCTATTCCTTCCATTGTGCAAGGGGCTTTAGACCATATATACTTATCATATATATAATACTCCTATATTGCTAGTACGGTGCCGACCTGAAGCCCAAATGTTACGGTGCAGACAATATAATAGCCTCTCTCTCGCGCAAGGTCCAGCTGCTTTGTGCGCATGCGGTGAACATTCAAGCACGCTTGAGCCTGTTCTACAATACAGTCGTAAGCCGTAAGTCGTAAGAAATTGACCAATCACAATCGATTATTCTTCTGTAATTTATCTGTGATTGGTCAATTTCTTACGACTTACAGCTTACGACTGTATTGTAGAACAGGCCTTGGGCATTTCTCTTTCTCGCATTCTTTCTCTCACTTTCCAATCCTTTGTCTTGCTCGCACTCGCTTAGTAGACGCGCCTGCGCATAATGACGCTCGACTATCTATGCCCATATTTGGACTTCGTGCGTCTCTCTTTCTCGGGCCTCGTGCCTCTCATTGCGAAGATACGCGACTAGCAATATAGAAGTATTACATATATGGAAGTTAGCGATCTAGTAGTAGTATAGACATCTGTGGTCGCAGGTCTCGTGAAACTGATCAATCACGTTGGATGATTGGGTGATTTGACTGCGTTCGAGGAGCGCGCTATCAGCGCTGTTACATTATTCTATCTTTATTGCTTATTAAGCCTGTTCTACATTGATCGCAAGCGCAAACGCAAGGAACAGGTCTAGTAGAATTGACTAATCGTATTGATCAAATCAGCCAATTGACCAGCGTGATTGGTCAATTCTACGAGATATATACTTTGCGTTTGCGCTTGCGATCAATGTAGAACGGGGCTGTGTTCAGTTAAGCAATATGGAACGAACTAATGCAGGAAATGCAGGAACTACAGGAATTGGAACTAATGAAACTAATGAAACTAATGAAAGAAGTGAAGATAGTGAAAAAAAAAGAAGGTTGGCTCCTTTGATCTGTTGCGGAACATGTGTAGTGGCAAAATTGGAACTGAAACAATTCTTTAAGTTTCCATTCCGAAGAAAATGAAAAAGGAAACGAGAGAAGGCGGCGTATACAGATTATAATTAAAAAAAAAAAAAAAAAAAAAAA